TGGAATCCACTTGATGGCAATGGTTGTAGGTAATATGAGGAGCCCTGGTGATACACTGGGCTAAGGATCAGGGTGACCTGACAGTCTGCCCCCATAAAGACGGCAGTCTTGGAAACCCACAGGCGCAGTTCTGCTCTGTCCTAGAAGCAACCTGTGAGTAGGAATGGACTTTATGGCAGTGGGCTGCATGTTTTATGACTAATATAGGGACCAGTTGGAACCTGGGTGGTGTAGTAGTTATGTTTTGAGCTGTGTTCCACAAGGTCATCAGTTCAAAACCACCAGCATCTCTGCTGGAGAAAGACTGGGCTTTCTACTCCTGTAGAACAGTTACAGTGTCAGAACCCCCCAGGGGGTGGCTAGGAGTCAACATGGACTCAAGGCAGTGAGTGAGGGAATGATATAGGAACCAGACGGCGTTAGTCTGCCACTTTGAAGGGAAGTGCTGAAGAAACTCTTGGATGAGGTCCTGGAGGTGAGTGGGGCTCCCTTCCTATCTGAAGATCTCTCAAGCTGGAGCTGATACAAGCCAGTAGGGCAAGATGGTGCCCCTCTTCAGTTTCCCACAACTTTTCAGGGTGCCAAAGGGAACCCCGCAGTTCACCTGAGGAACAGAAGCTGGCTGGTGAGCTCTGGTGCAGCTCAGCTGAGTGAAAAGATGAGCCAAGAAGGATGTGGCACACACCTCTGGCGACAGGGAGCGGGAAGCTGCACTACGGTGCCACGGTACAGGGAATTTCTTTCTGAGAAAGCCTCGCACACCCACTCTGCCAACAGGACTCAGTGCCCACAACCACAGATCAGTCCACAGCAGTACCCAAATGGGTCCTTACGCCCTCCACTGCCTGGATGAAGATATGCAGAACCATGGTGGACTGGCATTTCAGTTAGTTAAACTGTGTCTTTATCAGACCCCCGCTAGTACCTGGGGTGACCTGACTGGAAAGAGGGGTCTGAATAGTGCAGGATCTCATGATGAGATCATCCTGGATTACAAGGGGCTATAATGACCAAGAAGAGGGAGACATGTACAGATGGAAGGCCAGGCAGATGGAAGCAAGGCTGAGCGATGCTGCCACAAGCCCAGCACCACCTGACACTGGTGGAGGTAAAGAAGGGCCTCCCCTAGAGCTCCGGAGGAAATGTGGCTCTGCATGCAGATTTCGGATCTCCAGACCGTGTGAGGATGGGTCCAGTTGGTTTAAGCTAACAGGTGTGGGTAGTTTGGTGTGGCAACCCAGGAGCCTGAGCCACCTCCAGACACACCTCACCAGTCTCCTGCTCTAGAGCCTGGACACCAGGCATGGACATTTTCTTCGCAGCTAGGTTCAGAATGTGATTGAAGGTTAGCTAATTGGACACATGCCTACTGTAACTGAACGAAGGGAATGAGGTAAAGCCACATCTGTGTTGCTTTTACTGAAAGATCCACTGTTGATTCCTTCAGTATAAGCCCACCTGTGCACTCAGTCACTCTGCCGGTGTCCAGAGCCGAGTGTGGGGCTGCTCTGATATGCATGGACCGTGGGGAGCACAAGAGACCATACGCACTGCCTGCTGCCTTCCCACCCTCCAGAGGAAGGCTCTCCCCACTACTAGACACCCTCCTGGGGAAGGGGGCAGCTAGTAAACCCTAGAGAAATTTGACCTTAGAGATGCTTCATCAGAATGAGGTGACCGATTACAGAGTTCCTCCCATTCACTAATGAAAGGGCTCAAGGATGATGTTGCCATCAGTGACAGGAAAGCAAAGAGGGGCTCATTATTTTGGACCCCAGGGTTTCCTGTGCTAGAAGAAGACATTTGATACGACATTTCCACTCCCTGAGACACCAACAGAAATGTTCACTCGAGAGATTCATAAAGTATCATTTGACATAAAATGTCTTTAGGTCTGAGGTGTGTGACCATTGAACCTATTCCTTGCTCCATGGACTCTCAGAAATAAACAGAAGAAGATGGCAATCATGCCTTGGAGTCAGAGAGTCTGCTAAGCTGGCAACACGTTATTTACTCAATCTTTCCATTTCTAAGCATAAACAGCCCAAAGGGGGGAACCTGTAGGCTTATTCAAAATGTACTAACAGCTGACAAAAAGGCCCACGTAAACAGCAGGTTGAGATCATAAATAATTCACAGACCCTAATAAAATTAAATCCCAGGTGCTATGAAGTCATAGCCTAGGAGTTAATATGTTTTCTGAGCTCATTTCATTTGCTAGGCGTCACTGGTAGATGTAGCTCGGCTGACTTTTAACTTCTGGACTTTACATACATTTACATAACTCTCTACATTGACATAAAATTAGAGAGGCTTTGATTTGTATTTAGAGATATATGGGCAATCAATGGAGGCCTAGAACTAAGATAATAATTACATTAAACCTGAAAAGTGGCCGAAATGATGGATCAAATGTGTCTTTAGCAATTGAAATTGTGATTCTGTGCTTCACATCACCTTGGGAGACCTTCTTCCTTTAAAATCGAACCAGAATTCAATTAAGTTAAGCCATAGCTTCAGGTTGACATTGGGCTTTAGAAGCATATGTTAAGTTTAAGACATGATGCCACAAGGAAATAGTCAGTCAAATCCAGAATACGGGATATTTTCAGAGTAAATAATCCAGTTTTTCCAGCAAAAAGCTGGTATAAATAAAGGCGGAGTATAGATTGTAACAGAATAAAATACTTTCTTTTGTGTTCTTTTGACAATGAAACCTCATTCTATGAGTGTGAAGATAGGGCACTCTATTTTTATCCTCTGTTTTGCTTTGCTACTTGTGTTCTCTTTTGAAAACTAGATTTCACATCTCAAAAATCCTCGTTACCTGTCGAAGGGATCAGGTATAAGGCATCATCAGAACAAAAAACCTTACCATAGTGAATGATGGGGGGAGTGCGGGGTGGAGACCCAAAGCCCATTAGTAGGCCACTGGAGATCCCCTTGCTGAGGGGTCTCGGGGAGAAGATGAGCCAGTCAAGGTGCGATGTAACAACGATGAAAAAATACAACTTTCCTCTAGTTCCTAAATGTTTCCTCCCCGCTCCCACTACCATGACTCAGATTCGACATTTCAAGTCTGGCTAGACCAGAGGATGTACACTGGTACAGATAGGAACTGAAAATCCAGGGAATCCAGGGCGGATGAGCCCTAAGGACCAGTGGTGTGAGTGGTGAAACAGGGAGGGTAGAGGGAGAGTGGGTAGGAAAGAGTGAACCGATTACAAGGAACTATATGTGACCTCCTCTCTGGGGGACTTCTGGGAAGATGGCGACGGAGTGACACATAACAGAGGGATTCTGCAAAATTCAGCCTAGGAGAGTTGCTTAGAGGGAAGTTCAACACTGCTGGAACACATGAGGAGCATCTAAAGATAAGTAGGCACAGACCCACAAGGTTTTGAGGGGCTGGGGGATTTTGGCTTACCACAGTGGAGGCCAGCTAGGGTTTGACGTTAGCCCTGCCACTGTCTCTG